AGCGAGACGGAAAGGCGCTGGCACCCCCCAACTTCATTTTCACCCACCCAGAGTTTCCCTTCACTTCTCAATATCATCCAATCTTCAAAGCATGAAGTGATACGAGGGAGACCGAATATAAGTGGTCATTTCCTTCACCATCTATGGCTTGGGAACTAGATTTTACAACTCGAATACTGGTGTGATTCCCAAACAGAATGTTACTTCCAAAGTTGGGTTACAGTTTGCAAAACAGGAAATGTTCCAGGAGCTATTACCACTACCATTGTGATCGCACTGCTCATGCAAAAAACTAAGGGCCCCGGAGTTTATTTTAACAACTTTCTTGCGAGGCATGTATGTCTACTACAGTCCAGCCTGATTGAGATCGGACCGCTCCAACAACACCTTCATGCACAATTTCTACCGATGATTTGAAATACCTTTTCGATGCTAGACAGAGCCCCTACTTTCAATGAAGATGTAGCCCTCTGCCATCAAGAGGGATGGCACGTTTCACCGAAATCCACCACGCGTGCGTTCAGTAAATGGCTCCTCTCTATACTTTATTTGGGGATTTGTCTAATGTTTTGCCCCATGTCCCTCGAGCGAGTACGATTCACTGAACTGCTCCGGCTCGCGAAAGGTATGAATGGAGACGTCACTGACGCGTGCCAGATGAAGTCGATGATGAACTCGATGATACTGCAGCTCTATTTCAAATGCTGGAACGCAGCTTCAAACCTTACCCGCTTCAAAAAGGTCGGAATTCTTTCCAAGCACGGGATTGGCTGACGTATAAAATCATTGGATATAACTTAACTTTTTTCAACTCACCTCAAGTAGAAAGTAACAGGATGTTGGCTAATGCCAGAACTGGCTCGTTCTTCGCTATTACATTTATTTTATTTTCTTTTCGGCAGACATAAAGTTTATTTAATCAGGGTAGTCCTTCCTAAACGTATCCATCTGCGTTATTTTCAGACTGTTCGAAGAGGCATTCTCAAATGTGGCAGTTTGTGCGTCGAAAAAAAAAAACAGGTTGTAGACATTCAGGAACGGACACCAACCAGCTTTCTCCTGGTGAGCAGACGGGCAGGGGCGAGCTCCTTTCACGATTTTGTGGCCAAAGCTTGATTGATGCTTAATTTTCTTAAGCTTCCCCATTCTCCACTTACGTGGATCACACTTCCATTGAGACCGTGTTCTTTTCAGCTTTGAATAATAGCCCTATCATCACATTGAGAAAGACGTCCTACTTTTGACAACCAAGCTTCGAAAACCTTTATTCATCAAGTACCGGTAACGCTTTGGCAGCAACGAAATTATGGGACCACTTCTGAGCATCCCTTCAGAAGTACCCCTTACTGCAATTTTTGCAGCTCCGGCACCGACCTCACGCTCATGCCCCTCCTTTCCATGGATGAGACCTTCCGACGGTCGCCCTCACTCGCTCGTTTAATTGCACGCGTATGGTGTATGTATTCCATTCACCGTAGCCGGGTAGGTCACTCAGCGGATACTCCACCGCCCCTCCGGTCACTCGTCTTTACCACGACGGCATCGCGAATACTTTAAATGAATCCCTGCACCACCTGTCGTCCCATCGTTGATTTCCTTGCAGTGACGTCTCCATTAACGTCTCCATTAACCACAGTATGTAGAAGCCGATGTAATTCAGTGAATCTTAGTGACTCGAAGTACACATTTAGTCACTCCTTTGGTTCAGAGCCTCCAAAAAAGTGAAGACGAATTTCCTGAAGTAGGAAATCCGTTTCGTCTTCGCCCTGCGGATTTTGTACGTCTCCTGCTTCACTTTAGCGGATTGGCTACAATGCGCGGTGATACTATCGTATGTTGGATGTTGATGCAGCCGTGGTCAATATGAACATGTCCTAGTCATAAAAGATATCTCGCGTGATACGGAGTGGAGGCTGCACTGAAGATTTTTTGGTCAGCAATTGCTGAGCAATTTACAAAAATAATGGTGGATCTTCCGAGTATGAATCACAAAATGTTTGCGGCACGAAGTGCCTGTACCGGCATGACTTGAAATCAGGCGGCCGCAGATGCAACGGTCAGCAAACAAGACTAAATTTGTACAATGTTGTTGCCGCACTGTTGACGGTGTGGTGTGCCTCGATAAGTCACGAAGATGTTTAGCGTAGAGACTTCGTTGATGCTCTATATCATGAAGCAAGATTGGAGAAGACTGAGTCGGAAACCGTGTGCTGAGCTAGCGTTACTCCAGTTTTTGGTACCTCGTACTGCTGTGAATAAGGAAATAGTCTCGCAGAATGAATTACTAATTTCGGAGGGTTTGGCTTATTCGCGTCCCTGTACTGGTTAAGTACACACATTGGACATTTTCTAAATTCACGATTATGAATGATCCGATAGACAGAAAGTCTAGACAACCTAACTACCAATTGCTCTTTAATTTTGATTACAATATTTCAAGGTTTTCGAGTAAAGGTTAGCTGAAACAGATCATGCGCTCACCAGTCAGGGAATGATGTTGTAGCGCTCCAGCTCCAGTAAAAAGAAAACAAACCGAACACGTATCAGCTCTTCTCCCGGTTTTGGAGAAATATACATACACACCTGATTTAGGCCTTCGTTTCAATGCATGATTCTCTATCGTAAAACAAGAATTGACCTCGAACATACTAATTGGATCAAGCGGTCACAACAGAGTTCTTCACTTTATTTCATTTGTCATTTGCATTGAATGGTATAGATTCAATTCCTATCAGTATGCTTCAGATATCGCCAAGAAAGATGAGGGAGGTCGGTATGTCCATGTTTGTGTTTCTGTGAAGCTGTACAGAATGAATTACTAGATTATTCGCAAAAGAAACAGAGAAATCTTTTTAATGTAAATGAGTGAATCACTAAGCAGTCTGTGACCGAGAGCGTTAAACCAGTTTGCGAATCATGGGAGTCCGGTGAACGATAGTAGACGTGGGGATTGGCGCCGTGATTGAATTAGAGAACGAGCGAGTGTCCGCTAAAGCAGAGCTATAAATCGTCAAGTCGCCATCATCATTTCGGGAAAGGGCGAAAAACGCAAGCACAGCATAAGTGTGTTTATCATATCGAACAACTTCCACTGAAAAATTGTTATTTCTGGAGAGTCGAAGGATTGAAGGTTTATTCAGTGTAGGTTAGTGACCGAACACAGCTCTGCTCAACAGCCTATTCAAGATCTTGTCAACATATGATTATCCCAAAGACGAAACAGTTCAGTGAACTTTTGGAATGACAGGGAACAAAGTGGACGATTTGTGACCTCACGCGCGACCCTTGTAGTTAGTCCTGTTCGACAGAAAGCCCCTAAATACGAGAATCGTTTGTCCGTTTGCTCTATTTATAAGCCTGACAATCCTTACACTTGAAAAACTCTACCTGCTCAATAATTGTGCTAATGTCTTTTTGGAAACAAACAAAGTTATTCAGGTGTTGGTGAATGAGAACCTACGTAAAAACTGTGATTCTCTGCTAACGTTTCACAGAGATTAGAGTACGCCATAATATGCACATCATGCATGTTACGGTTCTTCCAATTGTGCTGTAGTTTAAAGGCACAGTTCACGATAAAAATGAGATTTTCTGAGATTTCCCCACAGGTTGAATTTGAGGCCCCGCGTATTACATATCTGGCACTGTAGATCGGAAAACGACCTAATTAGGGAAATATAAATACTCAAAGGTTGGGCCGTGTGTAACCTCGGACGAGTTTCACCGAGANTAGTTACCCCATGTAGGAAGTTCAAACAACTCGTCATAGCCCACAGCGACGGTGAGAGATAGTTCTTTACAGTTCTGCTTGATGTTGTCAGCTCTTTGTGCATTTGCAATAACTGTAATCTCGTTCGAATATCCCTTCCATGTTACTTCCGTCATGGCAATCTCGTCCAACCTTTATTTTCCCTACTTTTGAGGAGCAATATTTTTCTCGAAATAGGCGAATTCTCTTGCTTTCTTCACTTCCAATGAACTACTCCCAATCGATACTTCCGCTTTTCGTAGAAAACGGGTACCTCGAAGTTGTCGTGAACTGTGCCTTTAAGCTTGTTGTTTGTCTCGATTCCATGCTTTTTCTTTTCGCCCGCTGAATCCTTTCTCTTCGCTTGATTGTTGCTGATTCCGAGCCTCTTGATATAGCAAGGTCTTAAGTTTGCTCTTCCTCTATTCTTTATATTCATGTGGTTTTAGGGTTTTTTTTTTTGAAAAGACGTGAACTGTAACTTCTTCCGCAGGCTGGTTTTCTTTATATGGCCCCTCGGAATATCTGGTTCATGCATACAGTGACAGTGGCAAGTTGTGCGTTTCATGCACTTGAGCAGCAGGGTTAGTGGACGCCCGACCGTTTTGAAAGGCCAGAAACTTAAAATGTCTTAATACGAAATTCATCATGAGCGTCGGCCTAGTATCTCCTCCCTTCCCCAGATGGAGCTCTTATCGGTCAATAGTTCAGCATAAAACTTTTCACGATGTGAGCAAAAGTCTTGTGAGATTTCAGAGAACGAAAAGCTTTTGACTGGTTGAGTTGGATGTGATATAGTCAGCAATCAAAAGAGGCAGGAAAGAAGGAGCTTTGAACTTGTTGACAGCAGCCAAGTTGTTTTTTTTTTGTTGGCCGTAATCAGGGCCGAAGACCTTTGAACTGACTACAGATTTATTTCCATACAAACACCCTCCGCATAGCGAAGGGAGTGCTTGGAAAGTGAAGTATACATTTTAAATGACCGCTCCAATGCTATTTTTCTGCATGGAGACGCGAAAAAGAGAAAAAATGGCAGTTATGTTACAATGATGGATCGTCACTGGCTTACCATTAGACACTTGTCCAGCCAGTGATTGCGGTGATTATATCTCATCATCCAAAAAAGATCACATCACTCGAACCCGATCGCCGTTCACGGAAGGACACTTGATGAATCATCAAAGCGCGACCACCATGCCTTTCTTGTTTGCTTCAGCGCAGTTCATTAGAGATAGCGGTGTAGACCATTTCGATGTTCATCACTCAGTTCTGTCTTCTTTTCGTTCTGCTTTCTTCCACTTCTTCACTTAGATGCTATAAAGGCTATGCTCTTCTCAAAGGTAAGATTTTGACTTATTCAAAGCCTCAATCTTTAATAGGTCTGACTGATCAGAAATACACGTTCTTGATTGTAACCCTTTGTTTAAATGAGGCTGGACAGTCCTCGAAAGTCACGACCTGGGATTAAATTCCACTGGTGGTGAGACCACGTCGAAAAAACTTCCTTGACTTACCCCAGCAGAAAGTGACCTGAAAGGCTTATTCAGCAGCTTGTATACCAGTTTTATATTTCATAATATGTTTCTTAAGGGGTAAGAAATGCGTGCTAATAAAAACCGCATTGCTTCATATTCGCTTTACTCATTTGTAGGAGAGACCCGGAGAGATAGATTTTTTCCGTTGACACCATATATGCACGACCTTCAAGCGTTTGAATAGCATTAAGATGTCATATTTAGGTTCATCGATAGGGAATACCACGAAGGAATGTGGGAAGGAAACAGATTTCTGTTACAATGCCACCGCGGATGTGGCTTCGTTTAGCACCATTCAAAAAGCTGGATGCAACACTGTCCTTTGTCAGGTGCGCCCTTCGTGTTCGCTTCAATCCCCCACGAATGACAGACAAATGTTTCAGTACAGCATGAACGAATGCGTTGAGAAGAATATCACAGGCATTCCAATGAAATTTTGCTGCTGTAACACCGAAGATTACTGCAATAAAGGCGAACAAACGGTAGGTTTCCCACCTCGAGCTCAAAAATGACCATTTCGGCCACAGTTTGGTCAATGTGGACATTGCGTTTCAAGAATATAGAGGCGACTCTCGAACTTTACTTTCCTCATCATAGCGTTCAGAGGAAAAGTTCCCGAACACTGTGGTTTCGAGTTCCGTGGTTTTCCACACTATCCGCTTCCATTCAAGGCCACGAAGTTGTAGAAAGCGTAGTTCTTTCACACTAGGACTTCCAAAGGCCAGGTAGAACGGAATCATGGGTCGTCCATCTCTTAGGAAAGTCTTCTGCACAATAAGTGACTCCAGAGGATGAAGGGGTTACATCTTTTGGGAGCCTTAACCATGCGTGGATTAGGAGCGCAACTTAGCAGAAATATATTCCCTCACCATGTCATTGTTTTTCACCATAACGTCAAAATCTCAGGTACCACTGAGACCGAGCCAAGTATTGTTTAAATACGTTGTTTACAGCTTTATTCCGAATCCCTTAGTTTTCTCGCATTGAACTTTGAAAATCTCTCCTATCGAATGGTAGGGATGGGAGCACATGAAAGTTAGGGAAATGAATATGCGAACTTCCCAGTCGTCAAGCCATCTCCTCATCGGATTAGTAAAAACGCCTCTTCCACCGTAACCTATCAATTCATACCAGATCCAGATGCCTTCCAAACTGCGTCCACCAGTCGCATCCGTGCTGATCGCCTAATTTACACCCCCAAAAATTATATTGTGCAAACTGTCAAAACATTTGCTTAAGATAGGTTGCCAAATAAGCAAGAGCTTTTTTTGTTGAATATTCATCAAGTGCGTTAAGAACATAACTTTAACCGATGACCTAGGGTCAGTATAAGTCGAAGAGTCTGAGTGTCAAAAAGTCAAAACGTTTGAAAGGGTCAGCAGTCATTAACTCCAAAGATTATGATCCCAAGAAGGGATCCCCACATAGTTTAGGTAAGAAATTTGTAGGTTTGGTAGGTATGCATATTCAGAAGGTTCAGCTTGCTCATAATAGTTCAATTCTGTGAATATTGTTGCCACTGCACTTTTTATCGAATTCATGAAGCTTACTATCATGTACTATTAATCAAGCCGTTGAAATCTGTGCAGCTAACAACTACAAGATAAGTGTTTCAGGAGGAATTAGGAATCATTGACAAAGGAGCTACATTGCTAAAAGCACTGAACGATATTTTGGGATGACGGCTTTTCTCGAAATCACCCGTCACACTCGTCCAAAAACAATTGCTTCCGATTTTCTATTAGTATATGTTACATTTTTCTCGAAAATGGCTGCGTATTTCGCCGCATGGCTCAGCTCCAATGCTCCTATTTCTCATGCTTCAGATATGTACAATAGTTGTTAGTTTTGATTTCTGACTGATTTCCGAGTGTAGCATGGGAGTTCCACTCGATGCTTGATGTGCACCAATTTCAAACTCAACATTCGAGCAGAAGCGCGATTGTTCGGGATTACTATACCAGGACCGTTATGCTGTGAATGAACACGCAGGCACATAAACGACAATGTGGGTTGGATATCATGCACTATAGTCTAGTTGATTTGGGGTAACTAAACTGGTGAAGTAGCAGAAGAACTAACCAGAAGAATTTCCCTGTGTCTATGTATTTGTCCATTTGCTGCATCGTGGCCTTGATGGAAAGCCCTCAAACTTATCATATCACCCAAGAATTATCACAGCAAGGAGCTCTGTAGAGGGTGTCTTTTACAATACGGACACCATATAGTAAGCGTTTACCATATAGTAAGCGTAGTTGACACAGTTCCATAAGACACGCGCATTTGAAAGCATCGAGAGATGGAAATGCCGAGTCTATCCGAAACTTCTGGTTGAGTATGGACATGAGCAGCTTTGATCCCTTGTGACTATCTGGTAATCAAGTGACAAGTCGTTTACAATACGATGATTACCTTCATAATAGTATAATAGATAACATGCATTCCCTAGCAATCCATGTATGGGCCTCGATGTGGAGGTATCCAGAACTTTAATGCATACACGAAATAATCTATCTCGCCATCCTTAGAGTTTAATGTAACCCCCCTTTCCCTCCCTCCTCCTCGTCCTTCCCCC